ACGCACCTGTAGGACGATGAACCCCTTCAGGGTCAACCACGACAACATCGTCCTCCTCGGCTTCCCACTGCCAAGCTCTCCTTTACCGATGAGCCGCCCTATCCGCGGATCGTGGCTCGTCTTCTGCCTCCGGCTGCATACCAGCTCGCCCCTACCTCTGTCGAAGCGCCCTCATCCGACGAACAATCTCTTCTTCACTGGCCATCCTTATACCTGCAACACAAAATGCCCAAGATAAGTAGAAAGTAAACAAGGGAACAATGACTCAGCAATCAAACGGTAAAAGAAACAGACCGGTCTCCCTCTCCATCAACCCAGTGAGCATCAACATCTCCGAGCAAGTGTACGCGATAACATCTATCTCATGGATCATGCTCAGGGCCGACCTCTCTCCCAAGTAATCGCCATCCACTTGGGCTGCAGCACAGTTGTCCTCGGCTCCTGTAGTTCGGTCAGGAAAGGGAGACTCCCGGGAATGCGCACGAATAAAAACGACTCCTTCTAGTGCTTCATAGAAGAAGACGCCTCGACCAACGACCGGACATTCTGCTTATTGGAAAAATAGTAGTAGCCCTGCTGATGGTGCTTCAGCTGAAACATAAAGTTCACCATCCCCAGGGTCATCTTGATATCACGAACCACACAGTAGGACATGAAGCTGAGCAAGAAGCTGAAGGAGTTTGGCATCAACTGCACTGGCAACACCCTATACCAACCCAATACCTCGGCGACCCCCTCGTTCAATGGGAACCTCAGCCCAGCCTCCAAGCTATGCTCGTACACACATATCTCGTCGGGCTGAGCATCAATGGCCATTTTGCCAGGTTGCAGACACCTCATCTGGAACTTTGCGGGGATGACGTACATAGCTCGGATCTGAGCCATATCCCCAGGCCCCAAGACGTAGGGCGTGGTGCCAAACTGGTGACATTCTCGCAGGGGGAGTTCCGCCTCCATCCTAGAAGGGCCAGCCTCAGCCTCCTCGACTTTGACGGCCACAAAATCCCCCAGCTCCAACTCATAGTTGGAGCCATGGGAAGAGTTGGAACCGTAACCACTACTAGAGGACCTAGAAGAGGAAGAGGATCGATGGGAACCGAGCAATTACTGTCGAGCAACCATTGCCGAGCAATCACACCACACTCCACTGAGCAATGCAAGCTACCTTCCTCGCAAATGACACAGAGGGGGGTGCCCCCCTTCTTTTATAGCCACCAGGAGCACGGACCGAGGAGAGATCAACGATACAGATGAAGCACCCCTGACAATGCCTCGGAAGATCAATCGACACAACCAATAACGCACGCGCAAAGCATTAAAAACCAAAGCGGCACCCCGACAGGCGGCAATTACGACCATTAATTGCGTCGGTTCGCCCGTCAATGCCGGTCTAACCACCAGCGCGGATCCTCGGCTGGGCTGCTCAAGAACGTTAGCCCAACTGGAATGCCTAGTACCGACCTTAACCAAGCCTCGACGTCAGGCAAGGCTATAGGCCGGCCGAGCATTCCCCCTCCTCGACAGCAGAACTGGGGGAGTGGTTCGGGAACTAAAATTTTGGTTCTTATTTAAGTTTTGTAACCGACGATTGAAGGACTCCTCGGCAACGACCAACACTACATGGACGAGACAACAACTCGGAAGTTCCTTAGCCGAACAACGAACCAAGAGAACCTCGTCCCTCGACTTCGAAACTGGGGGAGTGGTGTTGAGATCATGGCTGAGCTGGCCTAGAGAGACACGTGGCCACCCAATCATCGCCCGACCACGTCAGCATAGCTCGGCCACATCAACTCAACGCGGCCATGTCGGCTCAACTCGGCCACGTCAGCATAGCCCAGCCGAGCTATGTTACTATCGTGGTTCCCCCCTTATCCCTCTAGCCACGTCAGCTACATGTCGCGCGAATAAGCCCGACTACAGTTAAGGGTAGGAAGACAAATTCACCGAGGAGTAGAACTCTACCCCGGTAACCTCGGCGGAGAGCTCTATCCTGATTATCTCGAAACTCTAATCCGACTAGGAGACAAAATCCCGGCTATAAAAAGGTGCTCCATGCTCAAGGTAAGGGAGCCCAACTTCTAGCACCCACACACTTTGCTCGGCCCGATGATTCACCGCCCTCTCACTGACTTGAGCATCGGAGTACCCACCTGGGGATAACTCCTCAGGCCTCTGACTTCTTCTCTTGATCGTAGATTACATAGTGCGGCACCATCCTTGTAAGCTTGGCACCGCCCAGTCAGCAAGGATTATTTGGTTGCTCTCCTCGGTTCGTGCACTACCTTGGATCGAATCATATTATATATATATACATATGTTGTTTATATTGCATTTTTGTAAATTTGTTATATTATTATTTTTTATAAAAAACATGTATATATATGATGAAAATAGTTGAAAAGATACTTGTATTTTTTGTTTTTAATTTAAATTGTTATATTTTATTTTTCTTTTAATAATTTATTATTTTTTAAAAAGCTAAACCGGATCGGATCATATCCGACTTATCTGATACAAATTCAAATCAACGTTTGTGAGATCTGATCAGTTTGGATCTGCGGTTCATAGTATCAGATCGGATTTGGATATACCCTAATTTGAATCCGATCCGATCCGTTTGCATCCCTAAGTATTGGGCTTATAATGGTCTAATGTGATCCCATATCGTTCTGATATATTCAGGGTCCATTTGGTTCGCAGTCAGAATCAAAATTGGAATTGGAATCCTTTGAAATCAGAATCAGAATGATCTATTCCCATAGTCTATTTGGTTCAGACAGAAATTAATAAAAATAGAAATTAGAATTAGCTAGAATGGAATTTCATTCCCAAGGGAGAGGGAAAGAATGACCATTCTCTTTAATGGGGAATGAGTTTCGACCATGAATCGGAATGAGATTCCGAATCAAATAGTTGGAATAAGCTAAGCTCCTCCGATTCTAGATATTCCCAAAAATCAAACGGACCCTAAGAATATTAGACGTTTTGAAATTTTGAACCTTCCATGAGACACAAAGGTGAAAGAGTAGTAGACAACGCATTTTTTCATAGTTCACCGTACCAGTTCCCACTTCCCACATGGGCTGCTCGTCAGATTATTTTGCATTGTCGAAATAATCCATGCTGCAAAACAGAATATAGTCTTCTCGTGGGTGAAAGATTGAGAACTTGAGACATGTTTTCTGCACTACTTTTATTTCAGTGACAACGTGTTATTAATATAAAGAAAAAAATTACAATAAATGCTACTGCCCTTCACCAAAATCCAAACGTTGTTTTTTTTTTCTCATTACTACTTTTTTATTCACAATGGGGTTGCCTCATAAGTCGAGGGCTCTCTCATAATCATACCCACATTCCAGAAAAATTCACTTTAATACACTGAATTATGGGGTTAATACCAAAATAAAAAGTTAAGTTATTATTCGAATTTTCAAACCTGTCATTACAGTATTTAAATTTTTTAAAAATATCAAATTGGTCCCTGTTATTAATTCAGTGTCAGTTATTTGTTAAAAATGTCAAAACTATCCTTCAAAAGAAAATGAAACAATAATGGAAAGAAAAGAAATAACTAGATAAGAATGTGTTCCAGATATAAAGGTAGAAGATAATGACTTTATTAATCTAGAATCTCAAACACTTCAACTAGTTTAGTCTCAAGGTAGAAGACAATGAACAGTATCTTCTTTTGAAGGATAGTTTTGATATTTTCAACAAATAATTGATGCAATAACACGTTTGAAAGTTCATATACTAACTTGACACTATCCCAAAATTCCCTAATAAATTCAAATATGATAGATATTTTCATGGGCGGCTAGGATATGCTGTCAGGTGGGTGTAAAGCGCGCTATGTGAGTAGCAGAACCGGATTCGTTACGAACTTGTTCTCTTACTAGTTACTACTACTTTATTATCGACAACGGGGGTTGCCAAATTGCTGTTTCACTTTTTTTTTTTTGTTATTAGCGCTTTTTTATTGACAGTGGGGGTTACCAACTTACTGTTTTTGACTTTTTGTCACAAGAGCTAACGGCTCCTCAGCTTACAAAATTCCATCTACCAGTGGCAGTGGCCACTAATGCCCTAATTAAGAGATCAATGTCTACATTGAAAATAATCAACAGATTCTTTAAAGAAAGGAATCAACAGTCTCAGACGGCCAAGAATAATATTTTGGCGGGGGCCAGTGACCCATCTACACAGATCCAACGGCCATTATAGCTCATATAAAATTTTAAATGGGTCTACATTAAATTGGATGAGGCGTTGGCTTTGATGCATGATTCTGAAGCAAAAAGACCTTATAGGTTTTAGCGCTGCTCCTGTGCTCTACGACTGGTTCTGATGCTGAGGAGAGGTAGGTGACAACTACGGATCAGTCATTCTCCCTTTTAATTCCATGAGGCGCCGGCTGATAAGGAAGGTTAGATGGTGGGTACTCTCGAAACGAGGAAATATATATATATATATATATATATATATATATGCAGGTAAGTTTCTGTCCAGTTCAAGGTCAAAGAGAGGAAAGGTACGCAGGGGCTCAAGCTCCAAAGTCTGGTCTGAAATCGGTGTACGTACTCGACGTTACAGAAGCTAGAAGCATGGGGCCGACGACAAACGCGAACAGCCAGCCTCTGTTGGTTGGCCTGCAGTCTCATGCCCGGCTCAGGGATTTGTCGTCGGAAGAGGTGGAGGAGTACTTGTCGCATGAGCCAATCGCTTGCGGAAGCTGGCCGCGGCTCATTGCCTGGGAGTCCAGGTTCCTCTGGTGCCTTTCCGGGGCTTCCATCGTCGTGCAGATTTTCAACTTCATGCTCAGTTTGGTAACCCAGATGTTTACTGGGCATCTGGGTGCCGTGCAGCTGGCCGGAGCGGCGATTGCCAATGTCGGGATTCAAGGTTTTGCTTATGGTATCATGGTGAGCCTTCTTTTCTGCTGCTATTTAATTTAATCCATTAAAGGTTGCATCCGAAGGGAGTTTAATGCAGTTACACTATCTATCTTCAATTTGATATATACTTGTTAGGATTATAGGTGATTAGGGGCAATTTTAAAATAAATTAATTTTTTAAAATATATATCAAACAAGGGTAGAAAATACTGTTCATTTTCCAAACCACTTCCGCCCCATAAACCGATCGCTGATAGATTGAACTGCGACTTGAGACTTGAGTTTCATCCTACCAATCTCTATGAAAAAAGATTCCAATCCTACGTCATATAATCTAAATCAATATGTCATCTTGACCACCATCTACCCGCCATCTTCTCCTGCTTTATTTCACTAGATTTCAATTTCAACGACTCAAAAGCTACCATTCAATTCAAGCTAATCAATCCAATCGTCATTCTCTCGTCCAAGATTGAAATTCTTGAAAAAATCTCAAACCCCATTACCACACAAACGAACGCCATGAATTAATTTGTTGTTCAGGGGTTAGTGGGTTAGTCTTTCTTACGAATCTCTCACAAGTCACAATCACAAACAGCCGGTCCATTTATCTCTCTCTCTCGTGGTTATGAATACCACATATGGGATATCCACCCAATATTCGAAATCAACGTTGAGAAATGAGAATGATGTGTTAGTAGCACTCTGCACCTACTACACGGAACACTCCCACATGTAATAAAAGGCAGACACGTACGACCAGTTGGTTAAAGAGTGTACACAACTAGCAAAAGAGTAGACCAGCGGATCTTATGTACTTATCAAAGGTCTCTCCAAAGTTATTTCAAATTTTCACCAATCTCTTTCGACTCTTAGACTGATTAGTGATTAACCCTTGTTGCTTTTAACTTTTTTTGCTTTTTTATTCAACTCACAACAAGAAAAACAAATTAATTGAAGAACACCCCATTAGAGTTCCATTTCTTTCACATATTTTATTCTGTTTTTATTGAATTAAATGTCATACCACAGGAAACAAAATATTTATTTTTTTCTTCGTATAAAATTTTGATTGCGGCAAGGGTGGGGACCAGGGGAGGACATGTTCAGAATTAAAGGGACATCTGGCTATGACCGAATGGTTCATTGCTTCGTCTTTTTAGCATGGTTTTCAAATCGCCCTTGATCCGGACGGTCGGATCCTTCGGTTCAGGAACCATCCAAGCAACTGGTTCGTTTTACCCCAAACTCAGTCCTTGGTCAAAAATCGTTGAATCAGTCAACGATTCATTGACTTGGGTGATCGAACCATCGACCCGTCGACCCATTTAATGGTTTTGGCCGTTTTTTACTTTTAATTATTTTTTTTTATTTTTATTATTAGAACGAACCATCCGTTCGAATCAGATAGTTGAACCATCAACCCAAAAACCGGTAACTAAAACGGTTCTACTTTCTGATTGTTTTTTAAAACCATGCTTTTTAGTAAATAAGTTATTAATTAAGTAGGTTGCCAGCCCCTCAGAGTTCTGTTTGTTTTCAGTACAAATTTGTATGGATCGATAGGAATTTTGTATTTGATTCAACTTTGCATCCACTTATTTATAATTAAGATTTTCACTTCTACCTAGTATAAAATATACACTTTTTATCTCCTTTCCATCCGTTGGTACTTCAAATTCCTCCTTCCTCTTAATTTGATCCTCTCATATAAAGTGAGAACCACATAATTTTGCTTCCTATTTTATTCTTCTTTTCAACAAATAACTTTCCTCCCGTGTCTATTATGGAACCCAACTATTTTATTTTTGATTTTACTTCTCCCTAACAAATAAGACAGTCATATTTGAAGTATAATTTAAACTAATCAGCTGATTTACACTAAGGCTATGTTTGGTATGAAGGAAAATGCAGGGAAAGGTAAGAAAATTTTTACATTGTATAGGTTTCCCTCTTTTTCCCTACCTTTTCCTTCAGACCAAATATAGCCTAAAAGCTCAATTTGAAAGGAATACAAATATATACAGTAAAAATATAAAATACAAGGTTTAAAACTCTACATATTTGTATTCATACTCTTTCCAAACTGAGCAAAAGGCTTAGTTTAAAAGGAGTACAAATTTGTACTTTACATATTTGTATTTGTACTCCTTCGAAATTGAGCTAAAATAAAAATTAAATTTACACTGCAAATAACCACATCCTTATTGATTAATTAAAATAATAGGGGTGATTATATGGGCATGGCCCTACACAGATCCAAAGAAAGAATTGAGCTTTCCACAAACACAATTAATATATTGTGTGATGCTCAAAAGACAAGAAAACAATATATTGTGTGATAGAATATATTATATAAATCGTGGGTAACTTCTGGCCCGCCAACCCATACTGTCCTAGTGTAAGCCTGAGCTAAATAGGATTTTGGATAGAAAACTTGAGATCGGCTTGGTCAGGGCAAGTCCGTGCTCACACCGTCCCAACAGCCTCTTGCAACTTTCCCATCAGGAATATTTCTTCATGAAATAAAGCACATCAGTACGGAGATATTCCCAATGCAAGGCTGTAAAGGCTGCTAGAACGGGTGTTGCTCTGATGGAAGTTGAACTCAGAAAACTTAAGTTCAAACTTGAAATTTTGTCAGTCAAACCGGCCAAACAAGTTGCCTAGCTATAGCAATTTGGTATGTTTTAACTTTTCACCATAGCCATAGTTTTTGAACCGCCGTTGACCCGGACGATCAGACAATTTGGCCCAAGAACCATCCAGACAACCAGTTCCATTTTATCCTAAACCCAATCCCTAGGTTCATGTGTGTGAAAATATTTGTAGTATGCAAATGAAGTACTTAACCATCCAGACCTACGTGACCCATTTTTTCGTTGAGAGAGAGAGAAGAGGGTTTGATATGGTGGTCCAACTGTCCAATATCTGTGGGAAACAGTACAAGTATTTAAACCTGACCTTTGTTTTCTTTGAGAGAGAGAGAGACACTAAAGGAGAAAAAAGCGGAGGAATATTGAGGACATGTAGGTATAAAAGAAGAAAGAAAGAAAAAAAAAAGGAATAGGATGCAGACATGTAGCTAGAGATATCATAAACATAACAAAGGAATATTGAGGACACTCAACTTGGAAACCGTCATAGGAAGAGAAAAGAAGGAATGGTAGTTGACACTTAGCTACCTAGTTTTTCTTTGTAAGCCCCCTTTTCAAAAACACCTTTCATTTCAACTGTTTTTGGCTCCGATGAGACGAGATGACCTCAAGACAACAACTCGAAATCGTGTGCATTCGGATCTGTTACCAATCAGACGCTCCCAATATGTCCCAGCGTTTTATTGGTTCGATTTGATTGAATTTTTTTTTTTTTTTTTAAATCGAACCGAAAACCGAAATTTCTAAAATCTTAAAACCGAGCCAAACCAAAAATCGAAATAAACAAACCGAATTAAACTTATTCGGTTCAGTTCAGTTTTCAGCTTGATAACCGAATTTGAACACCCCTACTGATGCCCAGCAGTGTTTTTTCTTTTTATTTTTTGTGGGAAAAATAGCCCAATAACTGAGGGTTCAGTCAGCAAGCAACATGCCCTCAAAAACTGGAGAGGGAATCAAGATCTTCTAACCACACAACATTTCATGTGTATTTATTGTTGTCATTTATGGCTAATGGACCGACCTCATGTGCATCCATCCCACTCTGTCCCTACCCCTGATTCCCCAGACACCCGTCCCACAAATGTATAAACTTCACTAAGTGTAGCTATCAAATCCCAGGAGAGCTTTTGGAACTTCGGGCCATCCCCTAGCTATTATCATATTAGCATAGCAATGTTTTTAAAGACAAAAATACCTCCACAAGTCAGGCTTTGTCATCACAAATAAAGACTTTCTTATTCACTGGGTTGTGTACCCAACTTACTTTCCTAGACTCTTCGTGTTGACTGTTAGCTTTCAGCTACCTAACAAAACCATGAGCACATGGATTATTTTGATGCTTTGGAAGGTTAGTTGAAGATCTGACTTGGCCATGGTTTTCAAAACCGGACTGGACCGGATGATCGGACCGGAAAAATCAGGAACCGGTCATTTGACCATTTCCATTTTTTTCTAAAACCGTTGATTTTGGTCAGCAAACTGTTGAACTGACCGATTAATCATTCGAACGGTTTTGACTACTTTTCAAATTTTTATTTTTTTATCAAAACGGACTGGCAGTTTGGATCAAATGGTCGAACCGTTCGAACCGGTAACCGGACCCCTAACCAGATCGGTTTTAAAAACCATGGACCTGGCTAATCCATTTTGATGTTAGTCTAGAGCCATCTATATAAATAGACCAAATGGAGCGTATTAGGTGCTTGGTCTCATTGGAGACTTAGGCTCAGTTTGGAAAGAATACAAATGCAAATAAAATACATACAAAATAATACAAAATATAAGATTTTGCACTCTACATATTTGCATTTGTGCTCCTTCCAAACTCAGCCTTAAGTTGTCTATTAAGCTTCCAAGGCTAAAAAAACTTCTGGATTGGAAGGGACTCTCGGCCAAGAAATTGACATAGACCAAGCTAGAACCTCCTTTGGTTTCCAGAAATTAATTCAAATTCTTTTCAACATTAGACCATCTCTCTCTCTCTCATTGTAATATTAATGCCCATTTCTTATTAAAATATAGAGTAGAATATGGTGACAAAATCCTTGCTCTGTGGGCCTCAAATGCCACCCTGCAGGCCAAAATAGAGCTTAAGCAGATTGATGCAGACTTCACCTTCAGTAGGATTTGAAGCTATTATCAGTATTTATTAGTTACCCAGATTAAATTTCTTTGTGATAGGCAGCTATATTAAATTTCTGGCAAGAATAAATTTGAAGATGCACTGATTGTGTCTCTTTACAACTTTGTCCCTCAGTTGGGGATGGCTAGTGCTGTGCAAACTGTGTGTGGCCAAGCTTATGGAGCAAAGAAGTACGCATCCATGGGCATCATTTGCCAGAAAGCCATCGTTTTGCATTTGGGAGCAGCCTTCTTACTGTCATTTCTCTATTTCTTCTCGGGCGACTTCCTTCGAGCCATCGGCCAGTCAGACGAAATATCAGCAGAAGGCCAAGTGTTCGCGCGTGGATTGATCCCTCAACTTTGGGCATTCGCGCTGAATTGTCCAATGCAGAGGTTCCTTCAAGCTCAAAATATTGTCAACCCCTTAGCCTACATAGCTGTAGGGGTTTTCCTCTTACATATGCTCCTCACATGGCTGATTATTTTTGTATTCAAGTGTGGCCTTCTGGGAGCATCTCTTACCTTGAGTTTCTCTTGGTGGCTCCTTGTCATCCTTACTGGGCTTTATATAATCTTTAACCCATCTTGCAAGCACACATGGACTGGGTTCTCTAGAAAGGCCTTCAAGGGGTTATGGTCCTACTTCAAGCTAACAGTTGCATCTGCTATCATGCTGGTGTAAGTGTACAAAGTAGAAAGTAGAAAGTAGAAAGCATTTGATGTGATACTGCTACATGGGAAAGGCCTCAAGCCCAGCCCATCTAAACCTGGGTGGTGGTTTGGGTGCCCATTGGGATGATGCCTGGCCCATGTTCAGTTCTCATCTTTATTACATGAGCTAACTATTTTCCATTTTCCAACATCTCTTGATACAGCTTGGAGATATGGTACAACCAGGGAATTGTACTTATATCAGGCCTCCTCCCTAATCCTACACTCTCACTGGACTCTATTTCTATTTGGTAAGTTAATGGTGATTCTGCACTATATTCCTCCACAAACATTGCCTTCATTTTCACTTTCGAAGCAATTATGATGGCTCTGTGGTTTATCTAATCTGCTTGAAATTCTCCAATTTGTGGATGATACCAGCATGAACTACTTAACTTGGGACATGATGTTTATGTTGGGTCTCAGTGCAGCAGCCAGGTTAGTATAATACTAATAAGGTTTAGTGGATAAACTAGACTTGAATTCCAAATTAAACCTTACAATCCACAATTTAATTAGTACAGTAGAACTCTACAGTAGATCTTAATCAAGTAAGGGATTTGGGCCTTGCAGTGTTCGCGTCGGTAATGAGCTTGGGGCCGGTCATCCGAAGGTCACCAAGTTATCAGTATTTGTCGTCAATGCAACCAGCATCACCATCAGTGTGATCTTCTCTGTATTCGTTTTGCTATGTCGCACTGCATTAAGCAAGCTTTTCACTTCTAGTGATGAAGTTATTAGTGCAGTTAAGAGCTTGACTCCATTGCTTGCAATCTCAGTACTACTCAACGGCATTCAGCCCATTCTCTCAGGTAAATATACATTGCACAATACTCATATAGCAACTGTGGACCGATTTGAGCCCTGCTGGGCTTAGTTTCCATGAAGGGCTCGTCCTTATCTGTATGTTTGATAGGAGCAAACTTATGGCCCATATATTCTACAGTTAATGAGTTCCAAATTAGGCTGTCAATGGGTCTGGTCTGGTTCGGGACAAGTTGGACCAGTTCCGAAACGATTACAAATTGGCTCTATGAAATAGACCCAGAACCGAACCAATTATTAATCGAGATAATTGGGTTTGACCTGATTATACTTGACATCTAAAATTATTTATGGCATAGAAAGTTAGAACCTTTTTTTTATTTTTGATAATATAACCTTAATGAAAATGACACTAAATGGTATTGTGTTTATACATTGATAAAACAAGTGTTTTTAACTAAAATTACCCTATGTACTGTTTATGAAATGTATAGAAATCACAAGATACTCTGTACTTTGTGCCTAGTGTCACTTTGGTCCTCAAACTTTAAAATGCAATAATTCAGTATTCGAACTTTCAAAACGTGATAATCCAATACCTTCCATTAATCAGCAGTTAATCTGTCGTTAAGTGACATTTGAAAAGGACACAAATGCCCTTTGAATGCCATTTAATTTTCTTTTTCCACCATCTAGACATTGACAAAAATTTAACTGTCTCAAATCCTCGCTTCTTCCATTCAAGAAAGTTGGGGTTACATTTGAGTGGGCATTCTGGTGACCCCAACTTTCTTGAATAGAAGAGGTAAGGATTTGGGGCTATTAATTTTTTTGTCAGTGTTTGGATAGTTGATAAAGAAAATCAGATAACACTCGAAGGGAATTTTTGTCTTTTTAAAATGTCACTTAACAGCTGATTAGTAACTAGTTAATGGCAGGTACTGAATTGTCACGTTTTGAAAGTTCGGATACTGAATTATCGCATTTTAAAGTTTGGAAATCAAATTGACACTAGACCCAAAAGACAAGGTACTAATCGAGAATTTTCCCTATTATTAACTAGATGATCAATTCGGGTTTTAATCAGTTTGGAATAGCAAAAATCAGTCCCGACCCACTTATAATTGGGACACAAATCTCAGAACCAAAACCAATACAATTGGTTCAGCTGGTTCAGTTCCAAAATGTTGTTTCTAGTGTTTCTTATTGGAAACTTTTATTTGGTATGTCATTTAAAAGATTTTGTGACTTCAGGTGTGGCTGTTGGAAGCGGATGGCAAGCCCTAGTGGCCTATGTTAACCTCAGCACTTACTACGTTATAGGTCTTCCTATTGGTTGTGTTCTTGGATTCAAATTGGGCATGGGAGTAAATGTAATCTCTCTCTCTCTCTATATATATGATGCAGATGCAGAAAAGACATGTTATGAGTTTTGACCAATCAAAATCCACACATGAATCTTGATAAATAACACCTGATTGGCCACCACATTTATGATACTAATTGATTTGTCAAAAACTTTTCAGACATTAAATCTTCCCGATATAATAGTCGAACCCATATATATCTAACATTTTGAAATTGTACTTTGTAGGGGATTTGGTGGGGAATGATTTTGGGAGTTGGTCTACAGACAATAACCCTCATCATCCTAACTGCCAGAACAAATTGGAATAAGGAGGTATCTCCATCTTGATTTACTTATATAAACTCATTAATCATTATGCCCTAAAATGAATCAAAGAGTAACCACTGAAGATCCCTTGTAGGTTGACAAAGCTGCTGAGCGCATAAAGAGATCAACTGATGAAGAAACTCTAAGCTTAGTGGAAAGCGTTGCCTGATCGTTCCTGGCTTGAAGAAAATTTTCATAGGATGCAATTAGCCCTCTTTTCTTGCACAAATATGAAATGAGGTGCAGTTAGTTTTGAAGATCAGCCGTTTGAACTTCCAAGCATCAACAGAAAATCACTTTAGCAAAAGCAATCTGATTATGGAAGAGTAGTTGCTGCCATCGTTGGAGATTCTTTTTGTTTCCTCCTCTCCAACGCATTGTAGTGATGTAGAAACAAATTCTCTGATTAATATGCAATTTACTATTAAAATTATAAAATATATTATCTTAGCTTCTGTTTCTGCCTCCGGTTGAAATTGTCCATTAAAGGTTGTAGACAATTGGCCCTTATTGCTGCTTCTTGGTTGTGGGCCATTTCTTTCAGTTGCAAGAAAGAGTTGTCATTTGTATCAAGCGGCAGACTGGTTACTGGTTAGCTCGTAAAGCTCTTAACAGTCGAGAGTGTAATAGTGAATTCAGGTTTAGTGATGCATATGTAAGGGGAAGAGCTACCCCCAGATTTGTGTAGCTCATCTTTTTCTATCAGAAAAAAAAAAAGAATTGTCATTTGCATACACCATCTAGAGTACCGATTGATCAAATTCTCGATACATTAATTCTTGTGAAAATTATGGCGTACCCCACCTTACAAATTTCTATCTGAAACCCCCCACTTATCACCCATCTCCCCCCTGAATTGTGTCGAACTGCCCCACCTGTTATTAATAGAATCAATAATTTGCCCTTTTGCGATCGAGTATTGATACTTTCAACCTTGCTCAACACATCAATAACATTCAAGCAAAGCTTACAATATGTACTCCAAATCATTTCTCTCCAATTGTTGCCATATAGAGTTAATGGTAAAGAAAAAGTATGGAAGCTTTTGGGAAAAGTACAGATGGGCCCAATTCAGAATTCTGAAATCCAGCCCAGCCGTAGTAGGTCATAAAAAGACTTGTAAATATAGCTTTTGGAAAGTTTAGACATATGCCCGATTAGGTGGCAAGTTAACATGGCTTCTATGTCAAAACTTCAATTTCCCCTTGAAAAGACAAAAACTAAAATGCCCTTATCACAAAAATAGGGCTCACTTGAATCTCTCCCTCTTTCCCAATCTCCCACTGCATTCTCTCCCTCTCTTTGTGTTGAGTTCATGATCATGTTCTGTATGCATTTAGAGAATTCACATTTCTTTCCATTGGGATTGATCAGGGAAGAGAGGAGACTAAAGAGTGGAAGAAGCTTGTTTAGTGGACTCCCCCAAAATTGGGTGAGATAAAGATAAATTTTGATGCTTCTTGGGGAAATGCTCAATTGGTAGTATTGTGAGGAATCATCGAGGACAAGTTCTTGACGTTAAAGCCTATAACGTGGGGATAACAACGAATCAATAATTAACATGGTTGAGGCCTGGGCTGCTATGGAAGCTCATAACATGGCTCTTAATTTCAAGGGTTCTCCCATCACTATTGAGGGAAACTCTAAATTGCTTATTCTTTGCTTACAACAAGTTTTGGACCCGCCCTCGAGATTGAAAAACATCATTAGTGATTGTCTAGAGATAAAGAAGATGTGTGAAGTTAGTCGACTACAACCATGCTTTTCATGAAGCAAATCAAGCTACAAACTGGCTAGCAAATGAGGCACAGAGAAATAAGGACAAACTTGTTGATCTCAACCCGAGGGACTCTCTCTTGGGACCTTAGCGTTATTATTTTTGGACATTTCAAGAGAGAGAGAGGTGTAGGTATTTTAGGCCCCCCTATAGAATGGGATTCCCAATCTAGAGTCTTAAGGAGTAAAGAGCTCATAACAAAAAAACCCCAAAAAACCTAAAATTAAGAAAATAATAAAATATTAATAAACCATTAACAATATATTAGTAAAATATTAATATTGTACTAAACATAATAATAATGTATAAATAAAATATCGATACAATATTAAAGTAATAATATTATTATTAATAAAATAATTATATTAATATCAATATAGTATAATTAAAGTAATAATAAAATACTAACATATTAATTATTAAATAATTTTAAATTAATAGAATATTAATAAACTAATAAGAAAATAAAATGTAATAAAATAAATAGGCTAATACAAAATTAAAAATTTTTAGTTGATTCTGATTCCAACAACAATCAGAATTCAGTTGCAATTCTCAATTGAACCAAACAACACTACAAGAAAAACGAGCTAGGCTGGTGCTAGCTAAACCGCCAGCATAGACATGAGCCGGCGGTTCAATGGCCGCCTTCTATAGTTGTATCGCCCTAGGTCATGGACGTCAGCCTAGAAGACAAAGACCATCGTCCTAGGGACCCGGTCCAACCATTCATTTGCTAGTGGTGTTTAGAGAACCGTCAGCTTATATAATGCATGACAATGGTCCAAACCGCTGGGATAGGCGGCCTTGACCGTCGGATTAGATTCATTTGTCATTTCCATAAACCACCGCCTTAGCTAAATTATGTAATCAAATCCAGTAGTTTTAACCACCAACTTAGACCGAATTGTCATCTAATTAAATCGCCACCATAAATGTTGTATTTCATCAAAGGTGGCGGTTCGGACCGCCGGCGTAGACGTTGTATAAACTGTCGGTTTAAGTATAATGATTTGCCAAAGGTGGTGGTTTGTATGACTGTCGGCGTAGGTTTTTAATTTTTTTTAAATAAGAATATCAGTTGACACCTACTAAAACCTAAGGCATAAAATTAATAAAACAAATGCATGGTGCATATTGATTTTTTAATAAAAAAAAAAGCATTTCTTTAATTATGAAACTGAAACTTGAACCAAGCATTCAATACAATCAATTCTGATAATCTAATTTGCACTTCTACTCAAGTTCTGGTAAGCTAATATGCATTACTAGTTTTTCAAATGACCAATGCTTCATAAACTTCTAAAGACCACCAAAATAGCCAAGGGAGGTTTTCTTGCAGCATCTTGGATCCATTGCGATGACAATATCACCCTAATTCCTTTATTTGAACCATTACTTGGAAATATGCATCCACAGCTCTTCTCAATAACTCTAGGAAGTTGACATCGGGTATTTTATTCATGTTTACATCAATGGCACACAAGTGTTTCTAGAATGTGAAGTATTGGGGTGGGCCTGTAACTTGACATTTACATCACTCAATATTTTAACAGATTTTTTATGGGCTTTATTGGGATTTCAATAGATTGGGTCTTCAAGCCAATGATGCTGTAAGAAAAAAGCTGCATAAATGTTTCCCCTATAAAACATGTATTTATTTCTCCTATTGAGTTTGTTAAGATGGTTGGTCCTTAAATCCCTTCGATTTTTTTCTTTCTTTTGCTCTTCATTCTTCAAAGCCCTGGCTAATACTCCCTATTGCTACTTGGCCATGCTCTTACAATTAGAACATTTTGTTGATAAGATTTCTTGATCATTGTGAACATCAGAAAAACCGATTCACTTGCCACTTGGGCTGAAAATGGAGTCGCCACCCATCAAGTTAGGAGATGAAGGTGATGGGACCTCCGGGGAAATGATTTTCTAAAACATTTTGTTTTAACAGTGACTCCAAAGCCCAAGGCACCGGTCCAACCAGTCTAGGTAAGGCTCGGATGGGAGAGGGAAGGGGTTAGGCACCCCTCTCCCGAGTCCAATAGGTGGGGCCCACATGGTGTCCCATGACAAGAAAGTAAAAAACAGGGATAGAATATCTAACTAATCTGAATCCATCAGGAACAAACCATATTAAAGAGAATAAACCGAAAGACTAGAAAAACACAGCTAATCAATTCTAGAGAAGTTACATATTAACTATTATTCCAGCTAATGAAATTAATTGGAAGCAAATCCTTCAACCAGGACTAAAATAATATAAAAGATAACTAATCGATGCAGCATCAAAATAAAAATCAGAAATATAAGAAGAAGAACACGAAAGAAATGAACACGGAAAGATGATCGGTATGAAGATGGGAAAACTAAAAATAGTCATGCAAATAACTTGCTACTTGATAATCTTCTTTGCATGATATGAAAGCTATAGAAGAGAATGCACAACTAGAAACTATCTAAAAAAGAAATAAATAACAGATCAATTAAACCTGCTACTAAGTAGCCTGGAAAATGCATTAGAAAGGCAACGGCGAAAATGTAAAGATAAGAAGATAAAAAAAATTAAAGAAAACAAAAGAAAATAAAAGAAAGTAAGGAAAAGGAAAGATGAACACAAAAGTGGAGTAACCATCTAACATTGAGATTTAAACTTAATATAACATCAAAGTAATTCAAAATAACACGAAGACGGAATAAGAAAATTAAAACTAACAGAGGAGCGAATAGCTAACAAAAACTATCAAAACGGATGAGAGAAGAAATTATCAGAAATAAAGAAAAGACTATTAGAAACTATCGGAAATAGAAAAAGACTATCAGGAGCAAGGAATTAACAGAGGAACAGAACTAAATTAGAACCAATAGAGAATCGGCTTCTCCTTTCCCTCATTCTTTGACCATGCATAGATAAGAAGCCAGAATATGAAAATGAAAGCATGAGAGCAGCGAGAACAAGTTGAGGGAAGATTACCTACTTGCGCTTGCTCCCAAAACGTGGTCGGTGGGGTTAGATACCTCGATGGGGCGAATAATGATCTACATCTAGATTTCAGCGAAACCTGGGTTGTTTGGCCAAGTTGAGATCGATGCTGCAGGTGCTCTGTTCGAACGCAAGTGTACTCTGGTTGGGTCTGATGGTCGATACAGAAGAAGGGTAAAAGAGGAAAGAGAGGAAAGACGGAGAAAGGAGAGGGAAGAATGGAGGGTGCCAAGCAAAAACGCACAACAAAGAGGCTTCTCTTGCTTTGTCCCGCCACTAGTTCGAGTGGAGGAGACGATGAATAGTCTCTCCCTCCTTAACCTCCTCAATTAGGGTGAAATGAGTGAACCGACTCCCTTTTAAGTGGGTTATGGGTATTTTCGTAATTTCAGAGATGTTTGGGGGCAATTTTGGTAATTTTCGGTAGGTTGGAATAAACCGGGTCCAAAGATTGAATTGGATTCTTGGGTCAATGATGGGTGGTTCTGGGTCAAGAATGGAGGGTTGGTATGGGGTCTGATTGTAGATGGGGGTTCTGTGTGTAATGACTAATGAGATTGGCCAAAACGAAATCTTTTTGGATGGAAAGGTTAACGAGGGAATTTTTGGCTGAAATTTTGTAGGGTGGGGTCCTCGAAATTTCTGGGTTGATTGACGGAATCAGATTGGCCCGACTAGGCCCGGATTGGGCAAATCTAGAAAGGATTCAATTCGGTTAATTTGGGACTTAAAATTGAATCTTTATGTGATGAAGAGGAAAATAAAGGCAATTTTGGATGAACATTCTCTAGGTAAGGTTTTTGGGTAGTCTGAGATGATTGGTAAAATCCGATTGAGCCAACTAGGCCTGGATCGGGCAGATTTGTAATCTGGTCAATCTATAACCTTGAAATGGAATCTTTGGTATGATTAAGGGTAAATGGAGGTGTTTTGTGCTGGAATTTCATATGTATGGGTTTTGTGGTATTCTGGGGTGATTG